TGCTTTAACTGGTTCTGTGCCACTTGCTTGCCAGCTAGTTACTTGTTTTACCAAGGTTATCTTTGTTTAACTTAAAGTCTAAATAATTAGTGGATGTATTTTTGAAATTAACTTTCTTAATAATTGTAACATATAATCTTACTTAATAATTGCAACTTTGAAATATATTTATTAAACTGTAAATTTTTAATTTTTGTGACCAATAAAAATTAGTATTTTCGATATTGTGATTTTGAGGTATGAACTTTATAACCTCATAACACATGAAAAAATAATGAAACTGTTACAGAGAGATTTCAACGTGACATCCTCTCAACACATCAAACTAACTTAGTAAAATTAATGAGAAAATTTTTTAAATGCACAGTTTATAAAATTTTTACATAACGGTAGTACTTAATAAATGGCTTTAAACAATAAGATGTATTTCAGTTGTATGTACACCATATAACTCTAGACACGTACAAGCAATTGCTTTATATACTGTACAGTATTTTTGAAATTATCCAAAAGTTATAATTGAAGATAACATGTAATAATGATTATATTAAGCTTCAGCAGAGTTAAATTCATGCCATTACATTTTACGCAGAGAACCAGTTAAACTTCAGAAACAAAATGAAATCACGGAGAACTAAATAAAATGAGTATAGTAGATTGTAATAAATCAAGAATCATATCTTCATAAGAAATTTTTGACTATGCCAGACAACTGGGTCTTTTGTTTCCAGGCCATTTTCATACATTCTTCATAATTTGTTACTCATGATTCTGATTCTGCATTTTCAAGATAAATTCTCAAATTTTTTTGATTATATCTTATATATTCTTACATATATGTATATAGATATATGTATATATAATAGTATTGTGTGTATAGTTATGATATTACAGATTCTATTTGTCCTTCTTTTTTAATTTAATTCTCTACTAAATATATACAGTAAAACCTTGCTAATTCAGATGCCACTAATTTGGAATTCATGGTAATACTGTTACTATTTTGCATTGTGTATTTTTTAAAATAATGAATCTGTTGATTCTACTTGAGGCTTTAACAACTATTACCTATTATTACTACTTTTAGACAGATGCATCAAGATGTGATTAAAGAACATTTAGAAAAGGAACCACAAATAAAACTTAAATTTGGGCTTAAAAAAGAAGCTATCAGCAATGACAAGAACAATGCTACTACTATGTTTGTATTGTAAAAATTCATCAAACCACTGTATTTGTTCATTTAATTAAAGTGTACTGTACAATAAATTTTGACTTTAAAGAAAGTGTACTTTTTGGACCATACAATACACATTTGAGTAAAAGTCTTTTCTAATTCAGACTTTCACTAATTCAGACTAGGCTTTCCTTAATTAGTCCAAATTAGTGAGGTTGTACTGTATTTATGCTTTTATGTATACATTAGATTACAATGCAGCTTGAAAAAAATTTTAAAAACATTGTCTATCTATCCAACAATCAGAATTTTAATAACCAAATGTCCAGGCTGGAACTGAGATGAATCACCATGCAAACAACATAAATACTTTAGAATCTTACAAATTCAATTTCAGCAGCTAAACTTGAAGAGGTTTTTAAATAAGCTGAAAACATTATTTTTACAATAAAACATTTACTGAATCAGTATTTATGGTGTTTGCTTGATGAGAATTTTAATTAATTAATTATTATTTTTAAATTTTTATTAATTATATGTTAATAGNGAATTTCTAATACATACTTAGTCTGAACTATGTCTACAAAAAGGGGTTAAACACTGTTTTTCTCTTTTAGCTTTATAAACCTGAAAATTCCTTGAATGCATAATATTGCTGGATGAAGCAGAAAATGTTTCACCTAATAAATCAGCAATACCCTGTATATCGCTGATTGTTGTGCCATTATTTTCCAGCATGGACAGAGAATTAAAAGCATATTTCCCATTAATTTTGTGGATTTTATCCCAGACTGCTTTTGAGCTAGTGAAAGATGTTATGCTAGATACATACTACCTCCAAGAATCCCTTTGGCTTTGCCTTCTTATTTTTCTGGCATTTGCCTTCGCTTTTTGAAAAGCTATCAAGTTTCTAGTAGTGGGGTATCTTCTNAGATGAATTTTAGGATCCAGGTGCAAACCACGCCTTCGGCAGAAGTGGATGCACGATGTCTTCGCTGCATTAAACGTAAACCCATTGGTCTTGGACCAATCATATATGCGATTTAAAAAAGTTTCAAGTTGTCTCTCAATGAAACTCATATTACTAGACTGACAGGAGATCTGAAAGTCATCTACATACAAAGAGTGTTTCCCAGGATAAGCAGCACAGTACCTTTAAAAGGTTAAAAAATTTTAGACATCTACTCTTCAAATTGCGCAAGTGTAATAAAAACGTCAGTTTAGAGTCAAATAAAACTCCCTAAAACTTTGCCTCATTGACCAATGGAATTTTATCCCCATTTAGGTAAATATCCACATCCAGGTGCAAACCATGCCTTCGGCAAAAGCTGATGCACGAGGTCTTCGCTGCATTAAATGTAAAGCCATTGGTCTTGGACCAATCGTATATGTGATTTAGAGAAGTTTGCAGTTGTCTCTCAATGAAACTCATGTTACTAGACTGGCAGGAGATCTGAAAGTCATCCACGTACAGAGAGTGTTTCACACTGGAAGGGGGACAGTTAGCTATGCTGTTTATTTTAATTAAGAACAGAGTCACAGTCAAAATACAACCCTGAGGGACACCTTCTTGTGTGAAAGGCCTAGATGGTGTGTTGCCCATCCTGACATAAAATCTTTGATTCTGCAGGAAGTTTTTTTTTTTATAGAAGCTGGCAAATTACCACGCAATCCGAATTTGTGCAAATCATGAAGTATTCCTTATCGCCAGCAGCGATCATAGGCCTTCTCTACATAAAAAACACAGACACTAAGTGCTGTCATCGAACAAATGCTTCACATATAGATGTTTTCAGGTTTACTAAATTGTCTGTGGTATTTCTGTTCCTACGACATCCACTCTGGTGTGGTGAAAAGTAGTTCTTTTCCTCTAGAAGAAACATAAGGCGTCTGTTTACCATCCTCTCAAACAGTTTACAGAGACAACTTGTCAGATAAATTGGTCTGTAATTAGAGAGATTCTTGCAATCTTTACCTGGCTTGAGAATGGGAATAATGATAGATAGCCTCCAAGAGGCAAGAAAAGTTTGTTCTGTCCTGATTAATGAACCATTTGCAGGTGTAGACAGTAGAAATTCCTTCAACTCCCAATGATGATCCATTAACAGGGTTGAAAACAGCATTATTTAAATGTAAAAAGGTGCATTGATTAACTTAATGCTACACTGTATAAACTGGTCAATTCTATAGTATAGTACAATGTAAATTATTACAATAATAGTATGAAAGTTTAAGAATTATTTTTAATCTAGGTAACTAATTTCATTGAAAATTATGGAGGCGTTTTCAAACATAACAAAGCTATATTGTCATGTTTTTCCCTGCACAGCTGTTTGCTATAACATGTAATAGTCATGTAACAATAAGCAAAAATCAAATAGAGCAATATATAAACTTGAAAATTAACTTTCTAAGCTTTCTTTATTTTTAGTAGTTATTAAATAAATGCCAGTTAATTTTCAAGTTTTACATATTCTAATCTAGGCTTAATTTTCACTTACTCTATAACTGTATGTCACTCTAACTCATTGTATAAGCCTAAAGCATTCCATTTTAATTTTGGACAGAAGTATTTTATAGTAGTGTTAAACTTTCATAACACTGTTACATGTTGGTTTTATTTATAATTTAATGTTATACTGTAAGGAACCAAGTCCGAGCATTATTTTTATTTACTTTTATTTTTGCTTTTTATTACATTTTTTTTTGTGGCTCATGTTTTGTTAGGACGAAGGCTTCCTCACCATTCACCTTAGAAACTTAAAAATAGAAGAGAAACCATCTCACCGACGAGAGAAAAGCGCTGTAGAAAAAAACTCGCGCACACTTGCACTCCCGAGTGGAAAAAAGTAAGTCCGCACTGCGAAAAGAGGAGAAGACCCCACAAGCATAACTTATGACCTTGCTAAACCTTAAAGAATAAAAACGTCCCGAAAATTGTCAAAAAGAATAATGTAAAAGATTAGCGACTATTGTCGGAAAATAGGCTGCCAGACAAATAAAAAAAGTTTATTGTTAGCATATAAGTATGTAAATGAGGGGAGTGATCGCATTCAGAATTGTGACATCACCTCACAGTATAAAGTCCAAATCTCAAGTGAGGCGAGCTTCGTAGCAGCAAACGAGAGAGGTGTCCGATAGGATAAAATAGTTCCAAAGCGATTTTAAAGTTATTCGATTTGTGGATTGAAGATTAGAGAAAGTCTTGAGAGTTGAGGAAAAATATTCCTAGTATATTGAGGTGATGATTAGAATCTTTAATTCATGAGAATTATTGTATATAAGTTGTCTTTGAAAGTTTGACAAATCCCAGAGGGGAAAAGAATTAAGTTAGCAAATACATTGATTTGAGTTTTGTGGGGTTGATTTTCATTCAATAAATTGTTAGTTGATTTTTACTAAATTTTGTATATAGTTATTACTAGAACTTTTATTAAATATTTGATTTGTTTTTGACAAACTTTGTCATTATTTAATTCAGTGCACGCTTAATGTCCAGGCATGGCACACTAACCCGAATCCGCGTAAAGTACCCGTTAGGGAACGGCTATTTCCGGCACACAGTCGTGCCAATAATCGTTGGAAAAATCAGAAAAATAATTTGGTACTTAACAATACTTTAGGTATACAAAAAAAAAACATTACTTGTGAAATAAACAATTGAATCCAATATTCAATAACAACTATTTATAAATATCTGAAAAGTTTTTTCACTGAAATTTAAACATGGTAAGAATTTTTATACACAAAAATAGCATAAACAACTTCCAACAACTTAACACTGCGTTGAATAATAACAATCCACGAAAAACCTTTTTTTACGAGTGTTATGTCACTATTAAATTCCACAAGTACTTTCGACCTCCACCGAGGTATGCTTCAGGTGGTGACTGGCCGTGTTTTGACCCGACTGTCGTAACAATGTTGCCAACGATGTAAATAAATAAACGTGCGCGTCAGGTTTCACCCCTCCGACCGCCATTGCTCAAACTCCTCGAATAAATACTTCCACGCCTGTGCAAGTGTTTCCCCATCCCTGTAGTTGATGCAGTTGCCCCCCATGATAGCTTTGAGAATCTCCCAGGCCTCCAGGCGATGGATGTGATCCGCGCAAAACGCGTGTCTGATAAGTTTGGTGTTCCAGAAGTCCGCCCTTATTTCAGGATCGGTGACATAGGTCGATAAGGCAGTGGTGTGTCTTTTATGCTTAATATCAGCTTGGTGTTCACATATTCGTTTCTGCGTTGATCAGATCGTGGAGCCAATGTAAACTAAGTCTCTATTGAATCTGTCGTCCTGTATGGGAATGGAGTAAACACCTGGGGCCCTGGTGAGATCCATTGCGTCCTTCGCGTTGCGCAGCAAGTCGTAAAGCGTGCTGGTTCTTAAGTACGTGATTTTGGTGCGGCTGTTGCTAGCGATCTCCCTATATAGGGGGTGTAGATGCCGGTTGAAGCAAACGACTGCACGTCTCGCGTTCCCATCCGATTGACGATTGTCGTCCGGCGATGGTAGGGGGCAGTCCCTGCGGCGAGGGGAGCGGCGAGCGCATGCACACGCTAAACTGCAAACCAAGGCTTTACTATAACCATGTTCCACGGCAATTTTTTCTATGCGTCGGATCTCCGACCATGCGTCGTGCACATGTGTGTGGTGCGTGAAGGCCCATCTGGTAAGGGCCCGGAAAGCTGCCATTTTGTAGACAAAGGGGTCAGAGGAGTTCGCGGGGATGAACAGCAGGAGTTGGTCAGGTTTATGGTAGACGCTCGTTTCTATCTTGCCCCCCCTGAGACGAATGTTAACATCAAGAAAATGAGCACTCGAGTTGCTAACCTGATCTAAGCAGAGAATGAGGCCGTATGCATTGTCGTTCATACACGACAAAAAATCGTCCAGATTGGGAGTGGTTTTCCACAGTATAAAGATGTCGTCCACGTATCTTTGGTATAGACTGATGTTTGGTAAGAATTTGGGCAACACTTTCTCCTCCAACTGTCTCACCACCAGCTCGCAAAGGTCCCCCGAAAGCAAGCTGCCCATGGGGACACCTCGTCTTTGTAAATAAGTGGCCTCGTTGAACTGGAAGACCGAAGTGTAGCACATAAGATGCGCCAGCTCCAATATCTGCTCACGGTGCCGGAGTGCATCATTCTCCCGCAGTAGCAGGTCCCTAAGAG